TTCAAGGTTTTTACATATCAACCTTTTATACCTAACTGTGCAGCTTTTGCACAGTCACGGAAAACCCCAAAGAACAAACTGATTGTAAAGGAACAAAAGATTTATATCAAATACAGATAAATACTCCAAGAAACTTAGAGTCAGAGAACAGAGAAGACATAATAACCAGATGCTCAACTTAAATCACAGATAGAAACAGCCCTATATTCTCTTTTCCTAGAACATTTAGATTGTGCTTGTATTGGAAAGCGAAGGTAAATGTCAAACGGCTACTCCCCTATCCTTCTGAACACAAGGAAATACCATGCTGTGCAATCCTTTCAGTGCAAGAGGAGCCTTTAGGAAACAACAAAGAGAGAGAACAGCATGTCTTAGTCACACAGATCAACTTCAGGACTACCCACTAGAGTTAGGGATGTAGCCCCTTAGCAGGACTTCAGTGGAGCAAATGCACAGCCCTTGATTTGACTGTACCCCCACAAAATCCCAACCAAACAACAGAAAGCAAACCAGATATCATAATCATGAGAACAGCCTTTAATTACTATACAGTTTTAAATGTTTATTTTCAGAGTAAAATTTCACAGAGAAGAATTCTGAACGTAGGAAAACGGAGAGCACTAAAGTTCACTAAGCAGCACTGTAAAACAGTTTTGTAATGGTGATAGGGTTTTCATATACGAATATACAAACAGTATTTGGAGGTTCGAGACCAGTGTTTCTCAATCTGTGTAATGACGTGACTCATACAGTTCCTAATGCTGTGCTGACCCTCAACCATAAGATTATTTCATTGCCACTTCATAAATGCAATTTTGCTGCACACATCAATCATAATGTAAATATCTGACATGCAGAGTATCTGATATGTGAACTCCCAAAGGGATCACAATCCACAGGTTGAGATCTGCTGATCTAGACCACCCCCCAAAAGAGAGAGAGAGAGAGATCTCTTACTATAAACACAAATCTAAGAATGTCTCATACATTAATAGTAGATTAATTCCATCTATGAAATAGAAAGCTGACTCATGACCCATTAATATTTTCTTGTTTGTTCCCACCAAGTTTCTATAGTAGTAATTACAGAAAGCACATCCATCTAAAAGCCAAAGAGGTCAAACAAATGATCTAAATGTCATAGGAAGAGTCTGACCTACCCCTGAACAAAAAAAGATTCGGAGGCTTAAACAAGAGTGTGAGTAACACAACTGCCAGTTACCTGGGCAATGAGAGTTATGCTCCTCCTTCTACCCTGACTGAGTTCATCATTAACATCACATTTCCTGTCACCTAGAAGACCAACCTTACAGTAGCAGGGACTCAGCACTCCACATCCTGAGACACAGGACCAAGTATTCAGCACTGCTGCCTGATTTACAGAAGGACAGTACTAATGAGCAAACATAAAACCACAGCTAATTAATAGGCTAAATGCATTAATGCATTCCAGCGCTCTTTCTACGAAAGGTTACTAACCCATCTTGGCTAAGTGCTGAAGTCATAATTAAGTCTGATGGGAAGTCCTAGATTTATACCAATATAATTACAAATATTACTTAGCCTAGTGATACAGCATGGCAGGAACAATGAGATGAGTAATTTAGATGATACTGCAAAGTGGGTTTTAATGTCTGAAACTTCTATTACAGTACACAGGGTAAGTGCAAGTAGTGTAATTAAAACTAAAAGACTCTGATCTCCATAACTCTGCTGCTCAACTCATTAAAATGCATGTTTTCTCAATTAATCCAAACTTTTCCATTAAAAACATAAAAATATACTTTCATTCCTTGGAAATAAATCTCCACGGTACTTATTATATTTAGAATCAAACACTAAATAACCATTACAGATAAGTACAAAAAGAAAATTATAGAGACCAAGAAGTTGAGCCCACAAAGCCAGAAAAAGAAAGAGAGGGCAAAGGAACGGCCATCCACTTAAGTCTCCCAGATTGGGCTAAGTAAGTGTTTGAATAGAGAGAAGATTAAGATCACTAAGCACATTTGTTTTAAACATAAAGTGTTCACTTAGGAGATAATCCACAAGTCATACACAGATTTCATGTTATTTACCAGATGTCTCATTTTCTGATTACTGATTACATGTCTGATTCGATTCACTAGGTATCTATGGCTCTCAGGTCTTGTGTACAGAAAATCAGAATATGACCACACTGCTGCAGCATGACTGTTCTCTTTTATTTATTTCTAAAAAACTTGTCTGAATATTAAGCAGTTAGAAATACAAGATGTTTATATACTTTATTCTTTGACATGAAAAGCTACTAAAGAGTATGTTAAGCTGTCACTTCATTGTCTGTAAAGAGAATACCGAGGGTGGAGACACTTTAATTTTTAAATTAAATACCAAGGGTGGAGACACTTTTTTTCTTAAATTGATATCATTCAATTTTCTTTAAATATTTGGTTTACTTTTTAAAGTAAATAGTACCAAAAACAATAAACACGTCTTAACAAAGTTTGATTCTTATAATTTTTAAAAGTTCATTAGACTTTTAAAGATCAGTAAATTTAATTTTTAAATTGATATCAATCAATTTTCATTGAATATTTGGCTTACTTTTAAAGTAAATATTACCAAATATAGTAAATGCATTTTAACAAATTTTAACTGCAAAAAGTCAAAGAACTTTGAAAGAAAATTTGAAAAAAATTAGTAAATTTTTCAAGACAAATCTGATTCAACAGAAATATGAGAGAAAAAACCTGTGAAACACCAATAAGAAAAAGAAAGTTCCTCATGACGTCACCTTAGGAAGTACTCTGAAAATGCAGAAGCACAGGCAGAGATAGACCAAGTAGATGACATCAAACTGCAAGGCATCCACATAGCAAAGGAAGGAGCCACCAGAGGGAAGAAAGTATCATAGAATGGGAGAAAATGTTTACAGACTGAAGGTGTAAGTAACTGAAATACATGTGACTCAACAGCAAAAAAACTGAACGGGCTGATTTTTAAAACAGACAATAGACCTTTTTAAAAAGGCAGATAAACTTGGTAAGATCACTAATTGTCCAGCACACTGTCAGCCAGACATCCTGAACTATGCCTGCAGGTGGGGTAGATGGTTGCTACTCATTCACAAGGGTTGGTTGCGGTTTGTTAGTAGTTGTGCTCAAAGAAGAAACAAGAAAGAAGGAAATCAGATTCAGGAATCTCTAACTCTCTCCTACATTCTTTCTCTCCTGTGTAGTGATGGGGGTAAAACCATGGGATAAAGGGTGGCAAAAAGAAGAACCCACAAAAAAGCAAACACCAGCTACAGGCAAAGAAGAAACAAAAAACTAGTAAGAAAAGGGAAGGAAAGGGAGGGGAGGGGAAAGGGAAAAGGGAAGGAAAAAGGGAAGGGAAAAGGGAAAAGGGGAAAAGGGAAAAGGGAAAAAGGAAGGGAAGGGAAGAAAAAAGAAATTAGATTAAGGATCTCTAGCTCTCTCCTTGGGAGGGGGTGGTGGGGGTGGGGGAGAGATAATGAATGGGAAAAAGAAGAACCCACAAAGTAGCAGAGACCAGCTACAGTGGGACACAAAGTAAGTCCCCATGTTACCAACTTAGCAAGAGTGCCTTTTAAGAAAGAGGAAAAATTTGAAAAATAAGATAATTGCATATAAACTCACCGAGAACAGACCCTCTGTGCATGGATAGCGCAAGGGTTAGTTCATCAATACAGCAAGTAGTATAAATAAATGGTCCCGACAAACTTCACAAGGGACTACCACAGGCCTGCTACGGGCACGTATCCAATGAGTCAGGAAGTCTACGGACATCTGTGTTCAACATATTTGTTGGCAAGTATAACATGGTCTCTGTCATTTGAGAAAGATGCAAGAACTGGCCTTTATAACCTAGATAGGAGTACGACATTCACGACACTGACTATAGACAATGATATCATACTGTATATTTTTAAATGACAACAAGAGTAGATTTTGAACGTTGGATTTTTGCCTTTTCAAAAAAATCATAAATGGATAAATGCTTCAGGAGACAGATTTGCTTAGCCTAATTTAGATATTACCTCATTTAAAGGAGCACTGAAGCTTTACATGGGACACCATACACATATTCAATTGTAAATTTTATGGACTGGTTAAAATTTGAAAATAAATAAATGCCAGAAAAAATTACTACAAAAATTTTACTAAGACTTACACAAAGGCAAACATGTAACTTGAAGAATAATTTAGGGCAATCTGTTGATCATTACAACTCAAGCTTAAGTGTCAACCTTAATATATTATTTCTCCAAATTATAAAATATTTCTATTAAACAGTCATTAATTTTAGATTAATTTTAGATGGAACACTATGTTTTAGTTTGAAAGTGAATTCTCTGTGGGTCAGGCTCTGGTCTCATGCCTGTCCTCACACACCTGCCTCCTCTGCAGCACCTGCAGCAATGCCCTCACAGCCCGGCCTCCTTCACAGTGGGGGACGGCAGGACACTGTGCACTTATTGTGTTATGAAAGTCTATGCAAGAGGTGTACTATATCTTTATCTAACTCGGTGTAATATTTCAAAAGAACAATGGGCTTATCATTACTTTAAAAAATTTCCCATTTTATATATTCTATGTTATGTATTAAACTGCTAATCATATGAGTGTGTTTAAAAACAACTTACATTTGTAATAAATGACATCACCATTAAAAAAATGTCTAAGTGTAAACCACAACAATCAACAACAAAAATCTCAAAACCTTAAAAAAGACAAGCAAGATATGCTTCGGAAGTAACAAGAAAGCAACTAAAATGCTACTGTTGTTGTTCAAACAATCAAGTAATAAAGTATGTGAAAGCGCTGCTGCATCTGTAAGCAGTAGGCACATTGAAGAGTCTGTCTAGCCTCTTTCTGCGCCTGCCTTCCCACACAGCTGCAGCCAATGTGACTTAATGTGGCCATGTCCTAGCACAGCAGCTCTCAGGACTACTATGCTCTTCTCGGGACACACGTCTAAGACATTACAATGGTTACCTGTCGTTTATGATCCAGTTCAGACAGAGATTCAGAGAGCTGAGATTTTTGCACCTCTTGACGATTTCCATCACGGTTTCGTTATCCAGTTCAGTGATGTGACGGAGGTCTAAGCTGGACAGGTTCCTTAGCTAGTGACAGAAATAACAGGAAAGGTAAAAAAATAAGTGCCAACTAAAATCTCAAAATCATTCCGCCATCCACCGCAGTAGGATGCACCACTGTAACATACTTAATGGACATGAGACCGTCTAGTCTTTTAATAAATACCTAGCAAAGCATTTTACACAGAAAATGTTAAATACAGTGGAAATCTATGATGAATATATAAGTGGGCAACAAACATTTAAAAAAATATTTTCCTACCGTTAAAATGAAGAAGCATTGACATGTTGTATAGTAAGTAGAGAGCCACTGAGCACATGACAGGAAGCACCTATGGCTAGTAAGATCCTATAGGGTACAATTTCAAGTATTTATCTTCAAAATAGAATGTCAGTTTTGTACAAGTTCTCTCATTTTAATCTATGAATCGAACCTAAGCACATCATAGCCGTCATAGTGATAGTCTACCTGTATTCTCCATACGGGTCCATTAGAGCATCCCAACCCCCATCTCTTCATTTCTCTCACTCCTTTTCTGAGGATTCCTAATGTTTTGTCTCCAAGGGCAAATTACTAACATTTACGTAAAGATGATGTCAATTACCCTCTTCAAATAAGGCATATTTCCATGTAAGCAATTTTTGATTGGTAACAGACAAAAGAATTAATCTGCAAGCATGTGTTGGACTAGATACACTACACCACCTTACAAATGTGTGTATGCCTTAGTATGCCACCTTATACGCAGTAGTGACGCAGCAGATGTGATCAGAGACTGATCCTGAAATGGGCAGACTAGCACAGACTATTCAAGCAGCTCCAACTTAACTGATGAGTATCTTGTGAGTGGAGTATCTTACTCAGCTTGTCAGAGAGATGTGACAGTACCTACAACAGTCACCTCAGTCATCAAAAGAGCCAACCTGCCTCTCCAAAACAGTGGAAATGAAGAGAAAGGGGGACAGAAGCCACAGACTGTGAGGGCCATGGCTGGAAACACCCACAGTCCTCAACTGATAGCCAGTAAGAAATAAGGATGAAAACCTACAAGCTTAAGGGACTTAATTTTGTCAAATATCTAAAGGAAAACAAACAAACAAACAACAAAAAAAAAACAAAAACCAGACTCTGTCTTCAAGCTTTCCCAAAGAAACACAATTCATCTCACGCCTTGACTTTACCATGGAAACGCATATAACAGACATCTACGTTACCAACAGTAGAATAATGAATTCATGCAATGTTAGCTAAGCGTGTGAAAGGTTGTTAGAGCAGCACTTAGAAACCAGCACACTGCATTATAGTGACCTGAAGCAGCTCTCCGAGGACTAGTGGTCTTCTCTAGACTACCATCAAATGCTTCCTTGGGGAAGGCTATCCCTACAGAAAGCAGAACTGTAGGTTTGACCCAATTGCCAAAAGGCCCAAGCAGACAACTGTCACCTCAGTCAACTCAGCTTAAATCACCCAAGAAGTAGACACTAAAATCCATGGAAAGACCTGGGTATGGCCAACTGCTGAGCAATTCAAACATGGCCAGGGTGCCAAGCCTCCAGCTCATTTCTATTTGATTTTATATCTGTGTGCAGGTGGTGGCTACCTTCTTAGCCACAGCACTAGAGAATGAATGTTCATGAAAGACTTGGGGAGGAGTCAGCTCGGCAGCATCCCAAACTCACCTTGGATCTTAGCCCACAAGGCAGAGCCACACACAGAGCTGAGACATCATGGCTCTCTGAAGTGCACAACTGTGGGAAGACTAGGTCGATGAGCCGTGAATACAGAAAGACAATGTGGTACATGCTCGAGACAGGATGTTTCTGGAGGGCTCCTTCTAACCATACTGTCTAATCTATAGACACAAACTCTTAGGAGGCCTTCTCTGTGCTCTAACAGGCCACATGTTCAATGACATCAAATCCAGCGTAACACCAGATCCAGGAAAACCAAAACTCCAGAAAGCAGGCAAGCCCAGGCAAGGAGAAAGGAGCTCTGGTAGATCCTAGTCTCCTCAGCAGAGGCTAAGCACCTCACCAGAAAGAGCACACTGCAAGAGAAGAGCCAAACACTTGGTAAAAACAAGCGGGGCCCTTTCCCAACTTCTCTATTAGTTTCAGTGTATCTGGTTTTATGTGGAGGTCCTTTATCCACATAGACTTGAGCTTTGTACAAGGAGATAAGAATGGATCAGTTTTCATTCTTCTACATGTTGTCCTCCAGTTGAACCAGCACCATTTGTTGAAAATGCTGTCCTTTTTCCACTGGACAGTTTTAGCTCCTTTGTCAAAGATCAAGTGACCACAGGTGTGTGGGTTCATTTCTGGGTCTTCAGTTCTATTCCATTGATCTTTCTGCCTGTCTCTGTACCAATACCAAGTAGTTTTTATCACTATTGCTCTGTAGTACAGCTTGAGGTCAGGGATGGTGATTCCTCCAGAAGTTCTTTTATTTTTGAGAATAGTTTTCGCTATCCTGGTTTTTTTGTTATTCCAAATGAATTTGAAAATTTCCTTTTCTAACTCTGTGAAGAATTGAGTTGGAATTTTAATGGGAATTGCATTGAATCTGTACATTGCTTTTGGTAAGATGGCCATTTTTATTATATTAATCCTGCCAATCCATGAGCATGGGAGATCTTTCCATCTTCTGAGATCATCTTTGATTTCTTTCTTCAGGGACTTGAAGTTCTTGTCATACAGGTCTTTCACTTGCTTGGTTAGATTTACACCAAGGTATTTTATATTATTTGTGACTATTGTGAAGGGTGTCATTTCCCTAATTTATTTTTCAGTTTGTTTATCTTTCATGTAGAGGAAGGCTACTGATTTGTTTGAGTTGATTTTATAACCAGCCACTTTGCTGACGTTTGTCAGGTTTAGGAGTTCTCTGGTGGAAGTTTGGGGGTCACTTAAGTATACTATCATATCATCTGCAAATAGTGATATTTTGATTTCTTCCTTTCCTATTTGTATCCCTTTGACTTCTTTTTGTTGTCTAATTGCTCTGGCTAGGACTTCCAGTACTATATTGAATAGGTAGGGGGAGAGTGGGCAGCCTTGTCTAGTCCCTGATCTTAGTGGGATTGCTTCAAGTTTCTCTCCATTTAGCTTGATGTTGGCTACTGGTTTGCTGTAAATTGCTTTTACTATGTTTAGGTAGGGGCCTTGGGCACAGGGGAAAAGTTCCTGAACAGAACTCCAATGGCATATGCTCTAAGAACAAGAATTGACAAACGGGACTTCATAAAATTGCAAAGTTTCTGTAAGGCAAAGGACACTGTCAATAGGACAAAACGACAACCAACAAATTGAGAAAAGATCTTTACCAATCTTACATCTGATACAGGGCTAATATCCAATATATACAAAGAACTCAAGAAATTAGACTCCAGACAACCAAATAACCCTATTAAAAAATGGGGTATAGAGCTTAACAAAGAATTTTCAACTGAAGAAACTCAAACGGCCGAGAAGCACCTAAAGAAATGTTCAGTATCCTTACTCGTCAGGGAAATGCAAATCAAAACAACCCTGAGATTCCATCTCACACCAGTCAGAATGGCTAAGATAAAAACTCAGGTGATAGTAGATGCTGGCGAGGGTGTGGAGAAAGAGGAACACTCCTCCATTGTTGGTGGGACTGCAAGATGGTACAACCACTTTGGCAATCAGTCTGGCGGTTCCTCAGAAAATTGGACATAGCATTACCTGAAGATCCAGCTATACCACTCCTACGCATATACCCAGAAAATGCTCTAACATATGACTAGGACATATGCTCATCTATGTTCATAGCAGCCTTAGTTATAATAGCCAGGAGCTGGAAAGAACCCAGATGTCCTTCAACTGAGGAATGGATTCAAAAAAATGTGGTACATTTACACAATGGAGTATTACTCAGCTATTAAAAACAATGAATTTGAGAGTTTCCTAGGTAAATGGATGGAACTAGAAATTATCATCCTGAGTGAGGTAAGCCAATCACAAAAGAATACACATGGTATATACTCACTGATTATTGGATATTAGCCCAGAACCTTGAAATACCCAAGATTCAACTCACAGGCCACATGAAGCTCATGAAGAAGGAAGACCAAGTGGGGGTGATTCGGTCCTTCTTAGAAGGAGCAACAAAATAATCAAGGGAACAAATATGGAGACAAAGTGAGGGACAGAAACTGAAGGAGGGGCCGTCTGAAGACCATTCCACCTGAATATCTATCCCATGTGCAGTCACCAAAGGTAGATGCTGATGTGGAAGTCAGGAAGTGCATGCTGATAAGAGCCTGATATGAATGTCTCCTCAGAGGTCTGCAAGAGTCTGACATATTCAGAGGCAGATGCTCACAACTAGACATTGAACTGATCATGGGGTTCTCAATGGAGGAGTTAGAGTGAGGACTGAAGGAGCTGAAAGGGTTTGTGGCACCATGAGGAGAGCAACAATACCAACCAACCACAGCTCCCAAGGTCTAAACCACCAGCCTGGGAGCACTTAGGGAGGGACCCATGGCTTCAGCTGTATACATAAGAGTGGAGAGCCTTGCTGGGCATAGGTGGGAGAAGAGATCCTTAGCCTCATGAAGGCTGGACGCCCCAGGGAGTGGGAATTTGAGGGTAGGGAGGTGGGAGTGGGGGGGTAGGTGGGGTACATCTGCAGAGAAGAAGGAGGAGGGGTGAGGGGATAGGGGGTTCCTGGGTGGCTGGGGGATGGGGTAAGGGGACAACATATGAAATGTAAATAAAACACTCAATTAAAAAAAAAAAACCAAAGATAAATTCCTTCAAATATTTTATCAAAATAAATCAGATATTGAGCATATATATTTTTTAAAAGCTACAAAGAAAAAGAGAAAGAAAGAGAAGGAGGGAGGGAGGGAGGGAGGGAGGGAGGGAGGGAGGGAGGGAGGGAGGGAAGGAGGGAAGAATCCAGTTGCTTATACCAATTCAGTCCCTCATCTCAAGGAAGACCACTGAGGATCACAAAGGTTAAGCAACTGTAAAAATGAACAATGGAGAGACAGATG